TTGGGCGGTTAGAAAAACTTCAGTATATTCCATGTATTCATGACTAATATAAAGAACTGGGAAGCATTATCAACAAGTTTCTTGCCATCAGTTGAAGGTTTCCTTGACATGCACTTGATTATCTAATGATTTGAAGGATCGGTAGATTATTGGGGATTGTGAATACCAAATTGAACTGCACTTGTGCAATGAGGTTAAGGCATACTAGATCTCTCGCCTATATGCTAAGGCAAGGCAAGGGAAGGCCCAAATACCTTGATGAGTCAGAGACGAGGTGTCTTCAGGCTTCAACTATGCATCACCTAGAAAAGCCTGGGTCGAGACATCGGATGCCTTGCCTAGGTTGGCCTGTGCAACCCAAGCCTCTGACCAGGTCCAAACTCGATCACTCCCCCAGTTCCAATCTCCTCCTCGGGCACAACAAACATCCATGCTCCTCTCCTAATCTCTCCATTCTCTCTCCTTTTTCATTACTGTTCCCTCTTTTCTGCCTCTTCTCTCTCCCTCTATTTGCAGATGCTCCAACATTATTGTCTTCTCTTTTCACTACTATTCTCTTCTCTTTTTTCTTTTTCCTCTATCCTAAACCAACAATAGTCATCATTGTTGTCCTCCCCTCCCTCTTCTTCTTTCCTCTCTTCACTGCTGTCATCTCTCTTCCATCTTCTCTCTCTCTCTCTCTCTCTCCATGATTTAATAAATCAATGTAACAAGATCATTCACTGATGTCCATCTCTCTTCCATCTTCCATCTTCACTTGTCCACTAGTTGAATATCTAAAAGGAAACCCCGTTTTTCTTTTACTGTTTGTATGCAAGGACGTAAAACATAAGCATGCATGCTCGTTATAATAAAAAATACTAACAGACTGGGGATACAACTACAAGATTAGCTGTATTTATATAGAACAAAACTTAAATAGGCTTTACAATTTAAAAGTATTCTTATCAATTTTTTTATATAAAGGAATTAGCACATGATTAATTTGGATGTTTCTAAGAGAAAGTGAATGCAGTGATGCCCTATAATTACTCAAATGGATTCATCTAGTTGGACCATATCGTGTCATCGATATGGTCCAACTATATGTCGAGCATCTATAATTCATAATAAAATCAATCATCTTTCATGAATCCAAAAGTTCAAAATTTCTACAGTATATCATGTCCACAAATGCAGAAGGTACGTGAGGATTATACCTAAGTATTATCTAAAATCTGCTAGTTTAGTACACAGAGAAGAACAAACAAGAAGCCTTACCAACCAATAAAAGCCTTCTAATATCACCTGTAGCTGGTTTTAGAAATTACTTCTAGCAAATTCCCAGCTGAACCCAACGTCTCTCTGAAAAATAAAAGAAAAAACACAACTTAACATTCTTAGCTCAATAGAAGTCATCACCAATTTGAACCTCAAGAGGTCAGTAAATAAAAACATGTCAGATATTCCATACAGAACAAGATGTGTCAAACCAACAGTGTTGATTTAACATTCACATAAAAAGACTAAGTACTTTAACAAAATCAATATAACTAACAGGCAAGAATCTTAGGCAACATGATTATAATCAGGATGATATGCAGGAATGGTTTGTGGAACCATTGTGATCGCATAACAAACATGAATCAAGCAATAGATATATACAATCAACACCATTCAGGGGTACTGATGGCAAAATTCTGCAGGAGGATTGGATTGAATGTCATGCATACACCTACTCAAAGGTCAAAGTACTTCAGCAAATGACCTAACACATGATATTCCTCCAAGGTATGGTAAGTCCTTTGCTAAACAAGGCATCTCTTTGAAATAGATGACAAATGTCCAGCCAAACATTAAAGTTTTATCTCTCATTGACTGACTGATTCCGAGTTTATGCATGAGTACTAGTTCAACTGGATAATTAAGAAACTCAATCAACTGCATTTAGCCTTTAATCATCTTTAAAACATTTTACTGTATTAGAACTCCATAGAACCAAAAAGAAAATCTGATTAAGAACTTTCAAAGACTATAATTAGATCCAAATTGAACTGTTTGATTCTTTCGACCTGAGTAAATCTTCATAGTGCTGCCTTTTTGGCACTCCATATTAGTTACAAGATGACTCAAGATAGTGGCACTTCTACAGACTGAACCCTGTGAGGTGAAATTTCCAAATTTTATTTCAGCAAGCACTGTTTGCAAATGCTTAATTTGTGGGCCTTTAGCTCTCATGTAAGTGAGACTGTGCCAATGAAATGGAAGGTGCAACCAGTCAAAAGCATGATGAAGATTGGCACAAAAAAAGAACAGATCTGCTCTGATAATCAGGCTATTAATGGAATGATATTTCCAACTTATTGCAGTTCTAATAAATTCAGCATTCTAATTTATCTTTAACAAACATCTCAAATCCTCGACATTCCTATACATGCCTAATAATGTGTCTATAAAGAGGTCTATTATTTTTATTTATTTAAAAAGTGGTGTAAATGTTCTGATAAAAGTTTAATGTTCCAATAAAATGTTAATGATCCAAGAGCTGCCTTAAACTATATCATGTAACTTTCACGAACTTTTAGGATTTTGGGATATATAACAAGAAACATTAGCACTGTCCCAGGTTTATGAAATTCTTGTGCATCTTATAGAGCAACTAACCTGAGGTCCAAATCTTGTATCCTTCTCCATAGTTCAAACTTGTCTTTTCATTAAATTAAAGAAATAAAACATCACCAACCTCGAATCCCTGCCTCTTGGCCACCCACCAGTAGATAAACCCACAACGGTGGCCCACTACTTGTCAGCCATAAAGTGAGAAGGAGGAAATTACCAACAGCTAGGGGTGTGTCACTGCACAAGGGATTAAGAATAATCCAACTTTCATAAACAGCAGGAAACGCCTAAAACTTCAATTTTATTTCCTTAAAAATTGAGTTCTGCTGTTTTTCTTTTTTAATTTTAAACCACCCAAAAAACTTAAGGAACAAAGCCAAGTATTCCTCGCTCTTTTTCTTCCTTTTCCTCACATAAAGAAGGAGAAGATACCAGATGAGTCCTTGCAAATCCAATATTGGGTGTATTGCAAGAAACATTAAGATAAGATAAGATTTAGGAAATTCACCTAATACGCCAACACCATGAATCTTAAGATGTCCAGAATAATAAAAAGCATTTCTCCATGCTTATAGGCTTGGATTTCAAATTTCTCAAATCAAGTGAAACTAAACTAATACAGACACTATAATTGTTGAGGATGATGAATAATCTAGAATATCCAGTAGCTTCCTGAATCATACAACACACAAACAAACAACCAAATATGAAACATTAATCCAGTACAATACCACGAAAACCAAACTAAATAATGCTCCAAAAATAATTAGCTTTTGTGTTTAAACCCCATGATTTTACAAATAACAAATATCCCAAATAAGTAAAATGAATCTTCTCAGGAAATAACATTTTTAGTGCATGTCATTTTCACCTATTTCAATACTTTACAGAACATTTTGTGTTTAGATTTTATGAGAAGGCACTTCTCCATACTCTGTAATTGAACAGAAATATAGCCTCTGAATGGAATATACAGTGTGCAGCATACCACCAATTAACCAAATAAGCCTATCAGTAATAAAGCTAACCGGTTCCTTCTTTTGTTAATTTGTCGTCGTCGTTAATTGGTACTTCTGATTCAATAGGACTGGGCTTGTATGTGTGAAAAATTTTCTGGTAAAATAACTTATCGGTATTGTAAACTCCTAACATAATAATCAACATAACTTCTGGATATAATATAGATGTCGTCAATTTCCACAGATCCACCAGTAAGAACAGAATTTTTAACTTGCTCAGGGTTCCATAAAATTACTTCTCAGACCTATAAAAACTAGCACCACAATATCTTGAGCGAAAACTATTCTCCAAACATCATGAATCATGGAAGCAACCTAATAACTGCCGAGATACAAAGGGAGGCACACCCGATATCGGCACAGCAAGAAAAATTTTCCCCTAACAAACAACACAATGCAAACACTACCGAAGGGTTTGAACCAAGAAAGCAAACAGAATCAAGAAAACATAAGATGGCACCCAAATCCAAAAGGAAAACAGAAGGAAGAAGTAATTAAAGGGAGGAAGACATTTTTGACGGATCTTCCTGTATTCTTGATGGATCAAGCATCAAGAGATGGATAGCGATACTATTTGTCGATCCGACATCAAGAATCAGTTCATAATCACAACAGATGGATTAAAGAAAAGATTGCGAAGAAAGCCCGGACGAAGATCGTCGGGGAGAGAGAATTTACCCTTCGACGAAGGCGAGGGGCAGGGAGGCGGTGGAGATAGGAGGAGCCCGGAGAGAAGGGCGACGATGAGAGGGCATAATGGGGAAAATGGGATGTTGCGTGAGCCGATGGGTATTCTTTTAGGGACGAGAACGAGTGCCGCTAATTAATGGAGAAATACACAAGAAAATTATCATACAACGTGACCCACCCAGCAAGGGTTTGACAAATGTCATCATCATGTGAATTATATGTAGGTGGGTCCCGCTTTTCCTACCCACTCGGTGACGCGCCAGCGGCGGAGGGGTAGAAAGTGTTGGGACCAGAAGGCAACTGATCGACATGGTTCAAATTAATACGCTGTTTTGTCTTGCGTTGCCTACCCCCTCCCCTACCTATCCTGTAATTGGAGATAGAGGTAGACCCACATGTTGTTCCGGGATAGGCTCCCAATTGCAAGGCAGGTGTGTCAGTCGAGTAGATAACGTGGAGAGAAAGACTGGATCTGGTTGCCCTGCGCTGAGTACCCACTCGGCCACCTATCCTGCGATTGGAGGAAGAACAGGACCCACATGTTGTTTCAAAAATGCACCCAATCGCTAGTCAGGTGCATCGGTCGGGTAAAGCGCGGGTACAGGACAACTGGATCAGATTTGGGGGAGATTGCAACAATTGACCCAGACATTGATCCAAGGAAATGAAAAGAAAACCCAATATCAGTGAATCAAGAAAGTTTCGTATGCTACATCTGAATGGATCTCAATTATTGAATCAGTAAAATACCTGAACATTTTACACACAAACATGATACTTCAATGAATACCTTATTGTTCTTTGTTAACATCACAATCCAACTGACCCCTTAAAAAGTCATAATCTAAATGAAAAGAAGACATCAATAAGGGAAAAAAGGACCCTATTATCTTGTCCCTGTTGCTTCCTCTTGTTTGAGCATAATCGCCTCTGTTTATAGTCTAAAACAGTATACATTATCATCATCAGAACCACTTAGTCATGAGTCTTGACCTTCTATCACATGACAATCTGTGAAAGTAAGCCTGTCCAAAAAATAATATATATATCATTAGCAGAAAGAACACCATTTTGTTGTACTAAGATCATAATATGAATTTTAACACCTTTACATTTCATTTCCACAATCTACTGTAAGATAGAATTAGGAAACCTTACAGAAGGTGCAGCAAAATATTCCAAGGGTTCACATTACTGAGTTAAATGTACCACATACAGCGGCAATTGATAATACCAAAAAAAAAATATAATCAACACTATGTCAGCAATATACATCTAAAATCCAAGACAATCCATGATGACAACTTCCCAATAATAAATCTGTTAAAGATATGCCATGGCAATAGTTGGTCATTACTGTACATGAATCCACAAGCTAATACTTGTTTTGAACTTATCATCATCACAAAAAGGACGAGTCTCAAGAGCACCAATCACTGAGGTCAAGAGGCCCTAGATCCTTGTTTAGTTGCAATCAGACTACATGGTAAATATTAGGCAGCCTATATGGGGCCTTGTCTTGCCAGATCGACCTCAAGTACAGCTTGGACATCTTCGTAAATAGTACAGAAGCTTGACTAGTCAACATAAAAAATATTTATTTAGATTAGGATATTAATGTATTTAATTTAGGAAAGTCAATACAGTTTAATTTAGGGCCTAATTTGTATCCAAAATTCCTAATTGGGAATAGTATTATAGATTATATAATTATTTTCTATTTAAACAAATAAACAAAAGAAGCATCATAACTTAAGTTACAATAATATTATGTACCCTCTATCTCTTCTCTCTTTCTTTTCTCCTCTTTTAATCTTTTCTTCTCTGTTCTTTCTTGGTGGTGTATTTCTTCCCTCGATGAAAAAGGGCATTAGATTGAAAGTGTTAAATCTTGACAATGTATAACATAATGAAATTAAAATCAAATTACTAGTATGTTGTAGGCACTAGATGCAACCCAGGATCAACTGAAAATATTAACATATCAAGGCAGCATATGAGAGTCAATAACAACAACAATAAAGCCGTAAGACAACTTAAGAGAATGAGAAGGAAAAAAAAGGTCAGATCACATACTCTTAATTTGTGTCCTAAGGCAGAGATGTATGTTCATTTCATTCATGGTCCCCATTACCAACTCCCAATTCTCAAATGACAACTATGATAGCATTCTTGCACTACTCTAAAAGGTGTTTCAAGTTTTTGGTTTATACATGCATATACTACAGATTTCGTGAATTGTTAGAATTACTACAATAATGAATTCAACTCTCATCTTCATATACTCATACGCTAACCAAACTTGAATTAGATAATTTCACAAATATTATTTTTATTGATAACATAAATAGGGATGGTTGTCACTGGAAATAATATAAAAGCGAAAAAGAAACACACACAAACAATTAAACTAGGTGATCAGACTCCTAATAAAGCAAGTAGAAAGAAACCAAGCATTCTCGTTCTTACATCAAAAAGATATACAAATATTTCACACTCTCCAATGGAGTAAAAGACCAGAAAGGAGAATAGATATAGATCACAAACCACTCACAGTTGTAAATAGGGAAAATCATGCTGAACTATGGTGAACTGGATTCATACCAGCATGCACTCCTTTATCAAAATACATTGGATTTGTCAAGCTGCAATAATAAAAGAAGTAAAAAGGATTAACGATCAACATGGGTTACCTTAAAGCAAAGCCATGTAGAAGAATACAAATAAATTACTGTTAGTGACCTTCCTCCTAAAAAGCAATTTGAAGTCACTTCCTTCAACACATCATCATGTACTGTCTGTCATCTCTAGCACATACAATGTCTGCCACCATGATGGATATTTGCTGTGCATTTACATTTCCAAAATAAAATGATAAACAAATTAGAAAACCTGAAAATACTTGCGCACAAAGTACGCACAATGAATATGGTAATTCTAACAATTACCGACCTGTTATTTTGGAGTCAAACAAAAACATCCAAAGATTTTCAGACAGCAGTTGTTTTGCACCACAGGATACACTGCTCCAGCCATCCGGCCACATCAGCATAACTTGAGCTTCTATCACAAAACCAACAATATCCACAGTGAGCACATGATTGCAAGTAGAGTTGCATTGAGACAATAACCTAGTCATGGAACTTCACAATAAGTTAGCAAGGTGTACTTGCCATTGAAATGAAATTTTCTATGAGCATTATCAAGAAGAAAATATCTAATTTGGGATCAGAAGAAGATTAAAAAAAAACAAGAATTTTAGGTTATGGGGCTTTGCTGTCTTCAGTCCAGCAACTTGCAGAATCTAAAAATTGAACCAATTTAATAGGATGTGGATGATGCATTACTCACCACGTAGCTGGGATCGGCAAGTTTGAGAGCCGCACTATATTACATGATATGTAGCTGTACAGTGGCTGCTCAAGCACCAGAACATGAAACCCCTAATGATAAATATGTGAGTGCATCCGGAGAAATGCCTTGCTTCAACATAAACTCATATACCTCGTAAGCTCTATCCCAGTCACCCAATTTACGATAGCCAGTAATAACAGCAGTATAAGTTACTACAGTAGGAGAAAGATCCAGTTTCATCATTTCATCTAACAAAGAAACTGCCACGTCCATCAGAAGCAACTTGCTATATCCATCAATGAGGCAGGTGTATGTATGTGCATCAGGCACTAAACCACTCTGGGTCATTTTGTTGAACAATTCAACAGCTTTCAGCATATCTTTGCACGTACAGTAACCATCAATCAAGGATGTATACACAATCCTATCAGGTACAAACCCCTCCCGGATCATTTCCTCGAAACAAATCAATGCCTCAGGCAGCCTACCATTCTTACACAGCCCATCAATGATGCTAGTGTATGTAAAGATGTTGGGCATCACTCCCACCTTCGACATTCCTGCAAACAACCTCAATGCCTCCTCCACTTTTGCAATTTTCACTAGACCATTGATAAGGATGGTATAGACGACCACATCAGGAACTATCCCTTTCTTTATCATTGCTCCCAAAATTCCCCATGTGCAAACTGACTTTCCCTCCTTGCATAGTCCATTAAGGATGACCGAGTACATAAATATATTTGGAATAATACCCCATTTATGCATTTCATTTAAGAATTCAAAAGCTTCTACTGTTCGATACTGCTTGCAAAAACCATCAACTATGAGAGTACAGGTGACGACAGTGGGCATCACACCATTATTAAGCATGAGTTCAAAATGATCCAATGCTTCCTTCAAGCATCCATTTATACAGTGGGCAAATATTATACTTGTGTAGCTATAAGCATCTGGAACAAAATTGTTTTGGACCATCTCTTGCCACAGCTTAGAAGCAGCATCCAAATCGCCATGCTTGCAATAAGCATCAATAAGGATACCATAGGAAACTAAGTCATGCGCATAACCTCGGCTATGCAACTCATTGAACAAATTTAATGCACATCCCATCTCACCTTTCATGCACAATGCATGCAGCAGTGAACTATAACTGACCATCGTTGGGATGATTCCACTGCTGAGCATTTCATCAAGCAGATTGTAGCCATTCAAAACATCTCCTTTCTTGGAAAATCCATCAATGAGAATGCTATAGCTATGTACATCCGGTGTCAGTCTCTGTTGCTTCAGTTCCTGAAACACCAGCAAAGCATTTTCCAACTCACCCTCCCTGCAGAAACCAAGAATGAGAGCGTTGTAACAGTTGGTGTTGCACGGCAGACCTCTAGACTGCAAGTCCTGAAGAAACTCCCATGCAGACTTGACATCCCCTGCTCTGCAGAGTCCTCGAATGTACGTATCATATGTCACTGCATTCGGCTTCACTCCACTCATCTCCATTTCAGTGAGAATCTTACCAGCTTCATATATATCAAAGGTGTCCTTGCTAGTATACATATGCACCATGATAGTATAGCTGTATACATTAGGCAGAGGGCTGCAGCTCTTCATGTTGTTAAACAAACACTTAGCCTTATCCATGTTATTGCTTTTGACCAGAACCTTGAGCAAGAGATTAGATAAGGGAACCCCAATTTGAAGTCCCATTCTCCTGGCCTCATAGTAGGTCTCCAATGCATCTTCGACCAGCAAGTGCTCCGCCAGAACCTGGACAGCAGCTCCGTACACATGTAACAAGCTCAGGGCACCTCGAGAGAGCTCAGCCAGTGTAGGCAGCAACCCGATCGAGCTGCAGTCCGCATCCCCACAGAAGCCCAAAACGCCCGCAAGCAAGCACCTGACCTCCCGTTGCATTGCCCCCAACGAGAACACCCCCATGAGCATCGCGAAAGCTTCCAATGCGTGCGGGAAGCCGTGCGAGGCCACCGCCTCCGAGAATCTAACTTCCTGGACGAGAGTCCAATTGAGAGTTCGCAGAGCTACAGAAACAACGGGGAAGAGGGCCGGGAGAGGGTCACCAGCGCAGGAATCGATGGATTTCGCATTGCGAAGTTTGCCGGCAGCATCGCCTTCGACGTCGTCGTTGGAGTAGGAGGCTTGCCCATCGAACGACGAGAAGGAGGAGGCGAAGGAAGGGAGAGATAGGGGTAGTGGGAATCTTGTGGCGAGGGCTCGACGAAGGAGTCCACGTTCCGATTTGATCATAGAAGAGGGCGGCGTGACCCTGCGCGCGACAAAGGGAACACGGCGAGCCCATCACGGTGGAGCTCGAAAGGGGTCGAGCGCAGGGTTTTGGGGGGTTTCGGGGATGGTGATGATCAAACGGGAGTCCAATTGACGTCGGAATCAGACGGTTTAGCTTAGCCCTTGAGCCAGATTTGGGCGGAATGAGATGGTTGGCTTCACCCAAACCCACACGCAATCGAGCATGACTGGGCCCCAAGGATGCTCAGGAGGAGTGCTTTGACATTTGTGCAAAAATTTGATTGGACTCTTTAAGATCTGCACATGGGCCTGCGAACGGTGGATTTCTGCCCCACTGTGCCGTGGGTGTAAACCACATTTCTCGCAGATTAATCTTAACTCGGACCGGCTGAGAGTCAGTGGACCGGCCCAAATGGTCAACGTCCTCTCCAAGCCACGCCGTGTTTCGTAAGGTGTGTCGTATCATGTCTTCCGCTGGGCGTTGACGGTGACTTGTGTGGCGAGCGTTTTCACCCACTCGGCACTTACTAAGCGCGCGGTGCCGCTGAATGCGAACCCACCTCGGAGGCTTCCGCCCAAGGTTTTCCCGCGGCGGAGGATGGGGAACCCGGCTACGCCGCTCGGCGGCCGCAGCCCTTTCGACGGCAGGCGGAGGAGACGCGACAGCTGCGACGCCTCCCGGAGCTCCACGCCCTCGGTGTCGTCCGGGCGCAACCCCGTCAGCATCGCTGCCAGGGCGATTTCCTCGTGCTTCGGCTCGCCCGAGGCCAGATCGCCTTCTCCGACGGACGACTCGGAGGACTTCAAGGCGCCTTATGGTAAGCTTCTTCTCTTAGAACAGTGCGTCGTGGGATCCGATCTTGGGAGGGAAAAAGAATTAGGGGAAAGGTGTAGCCTTTACTACAAAAGATTCTTATTTTAAGCTTATGTTTTGATTTAGGGGGTTGTCTTCACAAAAATTATTCTTGTTTTGTTTTGAAGCTTAAAATTGCCAGATTCCAAATTAATTCGATAGTGTTCTGAAATCATTCATGTCTCAGAAGTGGAAGGAGTTATGTTCGATCAAAAGAAATCTTCATTCTTCTGTCAATTCCTTCTTAAACTTGAAACCTATTTGTATACGTCACTTTGAACATTGATTAATTTGATTAGTTTGGGAAATATGGAATCACCAGCTTGCTTTTGTTATTGATTCACCAATAGAAGATCCTTTGAAACGGAACTTACTAATAGAAGCTAATTTAAGCAAATGTTTTGCTAAGGTTGGTTAGTATTTTGGGAGGTTTAACCAACTTGAAGACGTCATAATTAAATTCAAACTCCTTGGTGGATTTGGATTTAATTAAAGATTCAAGTAAAAAGAGCTCGAGGGTCAGGATTTGTTCCTATAACTACACCTAAATATATCTTGAGTCTTGGTGAGAGGAAGAGGCAAGACATTTTGGGTGCTAGGTTTCTAGAAAGAGTTGAGAGAAAAGTTATTCGAGCTTATGTGAGGCGAGATTTGTGCTTGAGTGAGAATAACTCAAGGATTGTGTGATTGATCTCATATATTGAAGAATTTAATTTTTTCTATGGATGTAGATAGGAAGTTGTCAAGCCATGTTACATCTTGTGTCAGTTTTTTGGTATGTTATTTATTTGTTGATCTCTGAGTTTATTCCATTAGTTCATTTGATCACTTTGGGAAATATTGGATCACCTGTTATTGATTCACCAATAGATGATCCTTTGAAACAGAACTTATTAATAGAAGCTAATTCAAGCAAGATGTTTAATGTTTCAAAGTCAGTAGTTCATCTAATGTATTCTTATGAGATTATGAATTTGGATGCTTATTGTTACTGATGTGACAAATAGACATTAGCTCCTTTTGTTTCATGTCCAGTAGCTCATCAGATTCTTATTTCTGTAGTCACCCCATCTCTTAGCACCCAAGGAAGCTCCCATGGGAGCTTACAAGGTAGCAGGCGGCGCAGCATGGGAATGCATACCGATGGCAGCAGCCACTCTAGACATCAACCAGGAGCCATGAGATTGACCATCACAGAGATCATGATGGCAACAAAGAACTTCTCCCCTTCTTTGATGATTGGACAAGGTGGGTCTGGGACTGTGTACAAAGCGCAGCTTGCCGATGGCACAGTGGTTGCAGTTAAGCGTGCCAAAAAGGTATATGGAGTGGATATGATGTTTCTTCTTGTATCTTGTTTATCCAGGTTTAGGCTGATACTGAACTTGGGGTGTGATACTCTGTAGAATGCCAACAACAGCCGTATGGATGCAGAATTCCAGAATGAGATTCAGACATTGGCATGCATTGAGCATCTGAATTTGGTAAGATTGCATGGGTTTTTGGAGCATCAAGATGAGAGACTTGTTGTTGTCGAGTATGTTCCCAATGGAACTCTTCGAGAACATCTTGATTGTAAGTTCCTAATGCCCATTTTCTAATTTTGTTGATGATGATCGATTACATGGATTTCCTTGTTGATCTTCCTGTTTGACACTGTAATAGTTAGATACTATCCATTTCCACTTCTGATATGCTACCTTGTTTTGCCACTGGGACTCAGTGCCCTGCTGACATTTGTTTTGGTAAAATTCAGGTCAGCGAGGAAAAATTTTGGAACTTGCTACGCGGCTGGAAATTGCAATCGATGTGGCTCATGCTATCACATACCTTCATATGTATTCAGGTAGGTACTGCAGTGTTAGATTTTCTTAACTCCTTTGTTCTTTCCTATCATAAGCCAAATTGTGAATTGGAGAGCTTGGGGTATGTTTATAGCAGACATCACTCTTCTCTTAGAATACCAATAGCAAATCTATTCAGATGAATATTGTTCTTTAGCAGTTAAAGTTAGGAAGTATTCTTGTCTGAAGGGTTGCTAACATAATGCATGAAATTTTTGTGATGCAGATAATCCTATAATTCACAGGGATATTAAATCCTCGAACATCCTTCTCACGGATAATCTACGTGCTAAGGTTGCCGATTTTGGGTTTGCTCGACTTTTTATGGTGGAATCTGATGCCACCCATGTTTCGACCCAAGTAAAAGGGACCGCAGGCTACCTAGATCCAGAGTACTTAAGAACCTACCAACTTACAGTGAAGAGTGATGTCTACTCATTTGGGGTATTGCTGGTGGAATTAGTCTCTGGCAGGCGCCCTATAGAACCCAGGAGGGAACTCAACGAACGTCTTACAGCAAATTGGGTATGCCTCTGATGGTCTCTTACATGTGCTTCTCTCTGGTAATCAACAAATGTGAAATGTTGCCATTGTTATTTTGAGGTCGATATTCAAGGCAGCTCATAGTGAAGCACCAGTTGATTCAAATGTAAACATTATTTCAACCATCGTGATAGCAACAATGCTCTAGCCCTGAGGTTGAAATCCCTCTATTGGAAAAGGTTTCACATCCAACCATAGATTACTAGGTTAACATAATCTTTTTCTGATGCTGGACAAGTCACTTCTAACAGGAAAGAATTATTGAAGGTGTTCCTTTCATACCTGCAATTACATTGTCAAAACAATGGCAAGTTAGTTTAGAAACCCTTCCTGACTTTGGAGTCACCAATTAGTTCCTTAATGATAAGGTTTGGCATTTTCACAAAATTTGAATGTTGATATTATGCCTTTCATATCAGGTTATACGTCTTTCTTGAACTACTGCTAGCTTCTTTTGTGTTTGCAAAATAACCGAATGGCTATGTTCTGGACCAATCTGACTTGCCTCGGTTAAATGTACAGGCTATGAAGAAATTCATGAAGGGGAGCGGGATACAGACTCTAGATCCAAACCTTCAGCCAAGCCTAGCAACAAATTTTGTAGTCGAAAAGATCCTTGAACTTGCCTTGTTGTGCTTGGCTCCGACCAAGAAGAGCCGGCCCAGCATGCGGAGGTGTGCAGAAATCTTATGGACGGTACGCAAAGATTACAGGGAGATATTATCTTCAGATCTTCACTTCCCGCCCTCTGGTCAGAGGAACCATTAAATGGATCATATGTTTTAATCAAAGAAGACCCAATATTTGTCAAAATTACCTGATATGATATAGGGAAGCTATAAATTTCTGTTTGAGATGCTGAATACTAATGTTTGTTGCAAGTAGAACATAATGATACCATTTTAATTGTGGAAAACTGTATTATCATTTTTAAGTGTAATTGTGTTGAGTGGGAACTTTGTACAATTTTAGTGCATTAACACACAAGATTGTCTTACACACATTCAGAGGTTGAATACAATGAAAATATTTCACTTTTTGACATCATTCTTCTTCCTTTTGTTCATAGAGAGTTTGGGGTAAAAATATTCACCAATTTTTTTCATCCTAGTCTTTATTTGTGAAATATTTGTCAAACTCTTATACTCTGTTCGAACTTGCTGATTAATGAGTTAATTGTAGCTTTTCAGTCATTATTTTGAAGTTGTATCAGTAATTTTCTTCTCTGCATCTTAAAAATAAGATGCTCAAGTACTCTTTCATTGCTTGACAACCAAATACAACTTCCAACATAGAACTCACAGAGTAGAGACAGGTATCTTTGTTTAGATCAAATCTTGTTTCTGTGGTGATCATGATAGCAAGTGAAACTTATTAGGACAAAGCCACCTTTTCCATGCTGTGATATTAATTAGCAATTCAATTATGTCATACACATGTGGCAGCTCATTCCATCTTTCATGGGCTCAGTAGATACATATAAATGATTGGTAGATTGCACATGTGCTAACAATAAACAAGGGGTTGGGCCTACATCAATTTAACATCTTTAAAGTAGTCTCAACCTCTCCATGATGTATTTGTTGGTATTAGTGTTCATTCAGTGGACTTCATGGACTCACAGAAATACTTTTATTGATTTTAATAAAATTATCAATCAAGAAAAAAAATATTTGGACAGTATATGATCATCAGTATACAAAACTAATGGTGATGACAAATAATTGAGACACTATGATTAAGAATCACAGCAAAAACACTTTTGCAGGTAATTAAAATCACTAGTTGACCAACTGCAATGGAGCTTGACTTTAATGAACTTGTCAACATGATGTGAAGCATGGTGACATGTTACCTTTCCTTGATTCCATGTGAAGCAAATGTCTTCTCTGTGTTCATGCTTCTTCTAGGAGATTGCAGGTTGAACAAGGCATGCTTCTTCTAGTCCACCGCTCAAAGAAAGAGAAGACAAACAAGAACAGAGATAATGACAAGAGACTCTTCCTTTGATTCTTCTGCCCGAAAGCTTTTCTTCTACTCCACCATTCAAAGGAAGACGAGATAAAAAAGGACAGAGATGATGACCTGTTCTTGACAGAGACTTTCCATTGATTATTTTGCCTGAAAGCTATTTTGGCAGCCATGGCAACCACCGCCACCTTCATCCATCCATTTGGTTGACTCAGCCAATCATTCATCTCTTGTGGCGATATAAACAAGTGTTGATTGCTTCTACATGAAGGAAGAGTGTCCAAGGCCCCCCTGAAGGCAGGCTGGTGGCCACCAAATGGCTCCGCGGTCGCCGCCGTCCGCTGCCGCTCGGTGGGCCAAGCCCCGGCTCGCGAACTGGAGGGTGCTGCCGCTACTCCTCCTCCTCATCTCCGCCGCGTCGCTGCTGCTGGCAATCGGATTCCTCCGGGCGGCCTCGGGCGGCATGCTCCGCCGCGCGAACGCCCTCGGCCGACAGTGCGCGCCGGGACTTGAGGGGAGCTCCGGAGGCGAGGATGGAGCAGGACATCGGCGGAGGATAGCGATGGTGAGTTTCTCCGACGAGGGCGGGGGGCAGGGGCGGGGACGGGGGCGGTCGTTCAGTGGCGTGGGGAAGGCGGTCGCGGGGAACAAGCAGGCGTACGCGGCGCGGATGGGTTACGTGTTCGTGGACGCGGGGGGAATGGTGGATCACAGCCGTCCGCCGAGCTGGAGCAAGATCTTGGCCGTCCGATCGCATCTGCCGCACTACGACTGGGTGTTCTGGAACGACGCTGTGAGTCTCTCTCTCTCTCTCTCGTCGTGAATTAAGTAGTGGCTTTGCTGTCACCCACTCACTATCTCAATTATGTTGTCGTGAATTAAGTGGTGGATTGGTTTCTTCGATTTTAGGACACGATGGTGATGAATCCAGCAATATCATTGGTAAGGCCGCCATATATTTTTCTCATTTGTATTCTTTTTTGTTTTATTACACAAAATAATAATAAACACTTCTAGATTTCTTATGCCAAAATAATAATAAACTCTACCAGGCTTGTGACTTAAAAGTTTGTAGAAATGTTTGACCCTCCACCCTCAATATATATTTTGTAAAAACTAATTTTCAAATTTGATATAGTAAATATCTTTATGAGTCATTAAAATTCACAAATTTGAGAAAATGAATCTCTTTTTTTTTTGGTACAAGTGATAACATATTTATTCTTTTAAATTTCAAATATTTTATTTTATTTTATTTTATTTTATCATCATCTTGTACCATTCATTTAAAATATTCAACCATACCATAACTTATTATGAAAAAACTTAATATAATCTTAACACATCAAAATTAGTTCATTGATATTCTCCATTCATAACAATTTCCACTAGTAAATGTAAAAAGTTGACCAACTTTTGTGGGAAAAGATAAATTGCTTGGGTTTAATGAAAGTTACAATGAGATTTAATTCTGTCTGCTGTAGATAAAAATAAAAAATAAAAATAAAAAAAATTTCATAATAGAAATATTGCCTGAATTTTGTAGGAGAGTATCCTATATGCTGTGATTGGGCACACGAATCTTGACGCATCTCCCGATCTCGTCGTGACTGAGGACACCAACGGGGTTAATGCAGGTCAGCTTTGGTGAATCTTCCTTATTCTTATTCCCTTATTTTTCTTAATTTTAAATTAATCTAATATTACTTTGATTTGAGGTGCTTATAATTATCGATATTGCACATAATTCTGAATCGAATTGAACTTGCGGTACGTGCTATACATTTGATGTAAATGATGTCAATTTGTTGGTTCGACCCAATTGGAGTTTGTGTCCGACCGGGGCAAAAGCTTTGGGCTCGGTTCGAGGATGGGTTGGGTTCGGGCAAGAATTGAATACTCAACCAATCCTCAAATTCTATAATGTTTAAAGCTTTATATAAAAAAAAATGCCTAAAGTATCTTTAATGTTTTTAAGAATATATCTTATTCAAATTCAAAAGTTCATTCTATAAATTGAATACTAAATATATTGGTTCATAAGAATTATGTTAGATCGAAACTTTTTTTTTTCGAGAAGAAACAAAAATTTTAATTTAGATTAGGTTTATTTTAGTCTATGTGATTTTGGTCATGTACCAATAAAGCCCTTATAGTTTACCTATGTCTAAAATAATTCATATATTTTAAAAAACATAGTATATAAGCTTATTCCATCAAATATGTGTTAACAGACGTTAGAGTCTGATTACGTGGCATGTTGACTTATAATAAATTATTAATATAATGACATATATAATTTAAGTTTACAAAAGGATTAGGGTCCATTTTAACCCCTATGGTTTTGGCCATAGATCACTTAAGCCTTTATGATTTACTCGTATCTAAAATAACCCATATATTTTTAAAAATATAGCATATAAATTTCTCCTGTCAAATCTGAGTTAATATATGTTAGAGTTTGCTTATATGATATATTGATTCATAATAAATTATTAATATAATGATATATGTAATTTAAGTTTAAAAAAGGGTTAAGATCGATCTTGTAGGCAAACTTTAATGTTATTATATTAAATAATTTATTATGAGTTAGCATACCACGTAGGTAAACTTTAACGTCTATTAACTTAAACTTGACGAGAGAGACTTATATGTTATATTTTTTTAAATATAGTGAGTTATTTTATATACGAGTAAACCATAAGAGCATAAGTGGTACATGACTAAAACCACATAGCTAAAATATACCTTAATCTGTTTAATTTTAATTAATATTTTTTATAGATTTTGGAGAGATATATTTTGACTTTAATATTATGATAAATTTTTTAAAAAACACTTAAGTTTTAGAAATTTTCAAATAGCACCCAAGTCTGAAAATGATTATTTTCAAACTATTTTTCAAAATGATCATCATGTGCCCTAGTCATTCATTGCCCTCCACCCAACTCCTGGTCATGTCGTTGCCTCGTCGATCGTCCTAATTCGTTGGATCCACCCAATGATGAAGGCATAACGGCCCTTGCTACCCTCACGCAAGGACACAAGTAATATTGCACAATAACTCCGCAACCAACAACGATAATAAGAGTCAAAGATTCAATAAGGTCCAACATGGGCCCTATAGCTGTTAAGAATTAAACGAAGAAGATAGAAAGATAGAAATTGTAGAAGAAACTATGAAATGTATAAGATGTAATTGCCTAGTTCATTTTTATAGTGAGCTCTTGATAGCTATTTATACACACTCAGCAGGGAGGTTATATACATTATGGAGGATTTTTTTCAACTGCTTAAAGATTTCCTCAACTGCCTTGAGGAAATCTTATCTGCTTATCATGCCCCCACAAGATTGAGCTTCCATCAAGGATGCCAATCTTGGACCGATGAGATGAAAAAAGTTTGCGGGCGAGAGGCTTTGTGAGTGAGTCTGCTAATTGATCAACTATATGTACGTGAGAAACACGGAATTGATGTCTGACAATTTGATCTCGCACGAAGTGGAAGTCGATGGCAATGTGTTTCATGCGGGAATGGAACACTGAATTAACACATAAGTAGGTAGCTCCAATAACTGTGGAGTTGACGTAAGTTCCTTGAGCAGATTTATGACTCAATTGAGTTCAATAGCGGCGGTGGCGATGGCATGATATTCAGCTTCAGTTGTAGATCGTGCAATCGTCTTTTGTTTTTTAGAACTCCAACTGATTGGAGTAGCTCCAAGGAAGACAATGTATCCTGACGCAGATGTTCTATCATCAAAGTTCCTTGCCCAGTCAGCATCAGCAAAGGCATGGAGATGGAGTGAAGTATTTTTGCGAAGAAAAATGCCATGATTAAGAGTCCCTTTAAGATACCGCAAAATTCATTTGATCGCAGACCAATGCGTAGTAGATGGTCGATACATGAATTGCGATAATTTATTGACGGCAAATGAAATATTTGGACTTCTTCATCACTAAGAGAATGACCTATCAAAGCTAAATCATCAATGATAACTTTGATATTTTGTAGATAATCAGCAATAGTACTTCCCCCTTGTTTCGTTTTCATCAGATTGGAGAGAAGTCCGAGCATGCGAGTACGCAAGCGATTTGCCAAAGTTGTTTGTAACTTGCACCATGCTTTTGCAGTAGTCGTACATGAGGATATCAATGGGGCAATGGATCCAGCAACAGAAGCTTGAATAGCTTGGAGGATGAGGCGATCTTGACGTAACCATAGTTTGTGGGCTAGATTTGGCACTGGACTAGATTCACCTGGGATGTTGATCATTTCAAGTGGACACTAGAGAGAGCCATCAACGTAACCTAGGAGATCATAGCCAAATAAAAGATTAGAAAGTTGTGCCCACCAAGATACGTAGTTGCCGCCTTTGGATAATTTGAAGGGAATAAGTGCTGCAGCATTGATGGTGATAAGACTTTGAGAAGTGCTCAGAGTCCCTGCAGAAATAGGGACAAGAATATCGGAAGAGGAAAATGAAGACATCCCAGATATTTTGTGGCAGTTTAAGTGATCTTTACAAAAGATGTAAAGATATAGGAGGGAGGGAGGAGGAAAAAAGTAGATCGATGCGCTATAGAGGAGGCTGCAACGATGAACTGCAGAGGAGGCTACAGCGATGCTATAGAGGAGGCTGTAGCGATGGGCGAGGAAGCTGCAGAGGAGGCTGCAGCGATGCACTACAGAGGAGGCTGCAGTGATGGGTGAGGAAGCTACAGCGATGAGCAAGAAATCTGCAACAATTAGGTGAAAAGAAAAAAAAATCTGCAGCAGTTACAGTTGCAGAGGAATTATTGCGGTAGAGGGAAGCGACTGCAGATGGAAGCTGTAAAAACTGCAATCGTTCCTGTTACCGTAGGAAGGCAGTGATGGCTGTGGCGGTAAGGATGGCGACAACAGCACTTGTCGCTCGAGTGAGATGTGGGAATGAGGAGGAGAGGTCGTTGGCCGGGGAGCAGTTGCGAGGACGACGACGACCAACACCAGAGGAGAGGTAAGTAGCAACACTACCCTTTCTAACTGAACAGAAAATAGGAGCAGTAGAAGGCTTCGGCAGAGCTGCCTACATCCGTAAGGAAGAAGGCTCTAATACCATGTTAAGAATTAAACGAAGAAGATAGAAAGATAGAAATTGTAGTATATAAGATGTAATTGCCTAGTTCATTTTTATAGTGAGCTCTTGATAGCTATTTATACACACTCAGCAGGGAGGTTATATATATTCAACATGGAGGATTTTTTTCAATTGCTTAGAGATTTTCTCAACTACCTTGAGGAAATCTTATCTTTATCAATAGCCTCCTAACAAGGGCCCTATAGCCTCCTCACACTCCTTCCCTGGCATGGTCTCCTCATGTTCCCTCTTTATCTTTTTACCTTCAATCGTGAGCGAGGAAGGAGGAGAGGATGGCTCGTCATCGTGGGTAGCGATGATAGTGAGAGTAAGAGACGAGTGAGGGCCAAAATAGGCAAGCAACCATGCATAAAACAAAGCTTTCGAGAAGACGGAGGCATGACCAAGGATGGTGTAAAGATTTTTCAAAATGATAAACGCAAAATGATAAATGATAATGAAACTTAGAAGTTTTTTTTTTTTTTTTTGAGAATTCACCTATATATATATATAATTTTATTATATTACGAAATTAAAATAAAAGGGAAGGATATCCATTGCATGCCGATTTGGTTCTCCGCGTGGCTTTCGCAGGCGTCTTCTTCGTGCGGCGATCGGAGTGGAGCGACAAGTTCTTGCAGACATGGTGGAACCAGACGTCCTTCGTTCGCTTCGGATCCACCAAGAGCGGCGACAACGACGCGCTGAAGCACCTGCTCCGCACCCTCCCGGCGGAGGAACTGGGAGCCCACGTCGCTGTGTCGCCCGCGCAGTGCCTCTTCAACTCCTACCCCTGGGTTCCCACGCTCAAGTCGCTGCACCGCCTCTTCACCTCGCCGCGGGCTACCTGGAACGGTATCCCTTCTTCTCCCTCCGACTGCTTGATTCACATTGTATCCAACTGCTAATCCTCGCTTCCTTGCTTCCCGTCAGGCGTCTACTCCGACGGCGATTTCCTAGTCCACCTCGCTGGCTTGGATGACAAGAAGAAGTGGCTCATCAACATGCTTGACGAAATGAGACCTGTTTAGCGGAGAACATTCCCTTCTGTTTTATGCTCTCAAAGAAGAGCCTGGTGAAGGTAGTCAAAGAAGAGATACAGGTTTTGTAACGTATGTATGTAATCGTAGATACGTACAAATACTGTTGTATAAGAAGATTAGATGTACAGAAAAAGGATTTATTATTCCTTAAAATGATTGAATAAAGGGCTGTAAATTTCAGTGTCTGTCATGCTACAGTCTCAATCATGCAGCAACCATCCCATCCAATAATCTTGATGATTGTGCAGCAGGCAAACGGTTCATTTTGTGCTGAATCCAATAGCCAAAACGTTGATGGATGAACCATCGATTCTTGTTTCTATAAATCAAGAACTGTAATTGAATCGTTCGGATTCCATTTTGATTTCAATTCGGATTAAATTATTTTTAGCGCTAAAGACGATATTGCTGAAAGTATCCCCCCACATCGGCAGTCTGGTCTTATTAAATTAGATAAAATATATTATAAATATAATTACATTATGATTATAATTATCGATTAATAGAAAAAAAAATTAATTATAATAAAATTTCTTAGAATAATTATAATAAAATTCTTTTAGAAGATGATTTTGATTGGAGAATCTCTCTTGATTACATATTTTTGATCCTTTAGTCTCACATATATATATATATATATATACAGAATCTTCTAGAGACTCGTTAGGATACGTTATGTTAAAGAGATTATAGATCTTCTCTTATCTCACCTTAATTCTTATTTCATCGCTTATAGTAGTCTTATAAATGATAAGAAGAGAGAAAACAAGTTTAGTTCTTCTTACAAATTGATATCACTATAGCTTTCAGATCTGACGATGTTACACTAAAGATTTACTATAGATAATTATAATCTTTGATTTATAAATTATTTTATTTTATTTTCTGCATAATTATAATTTGTATGCTTATAATTCATATTAGAGCCATGTTTTGAAATCAAATACCTTATATCATAAAAGTATATCAAATCTATTTTGTATTTAGATTTGTTTATTAACACCATTCACTTGCAAAAATATATTATTCAATTTTGATTGTATGATGCTTAAATAATCTATCTGTATTGTCAATCTGCTTTCATATCTCGTCTATCTTATCCGATCTCTAAATATATTCTATTGTACTTCTCGCTTACTTACGGACATTATAACATAATGGAACAACGACATGCTACTCGTATTTATCCGATGGGTTACCATTGGTAACTTACTGTCGAAAGAAGCACTATTGAGGGTGGTGGCCTCTGTTGGTTATCAGTCATTAGCAATGATTGCATAGATGGCAACGTTGCCACATGCAATGATAACTATTGTGTGTAGTAGCCCAAGCGTTATGTCACTACAACCGTTGTGCACTGACCCCCAAGCATCATGATGGCCTGCCATGATCGTTGGCATTACATATGCAACAACTTTGGGTGACATCATTGCGTGTGATGATTGCCATCGTGGGTAGCAGTTGCCTTATAAAATTATATTTTTATCATTTATAGAACATTTAAATTATATTTGATATCATTGTATTGGTCTTGTAGCCACCAAAATGGCTTAGACCAATCACTTATAAAATTATGTTAAAGAATTATTTCTAAATAATATTTAAAAATAATATTTATAATGACATACATAATTAGAAGATTTAGATAATCCCAAAGGAGAATCTATTTCAAATAATTATATGACGAGATTTAGATATCCTTATAATTTAGAGTTATATATCTAAAAGTAATAACACTGCTCTACAAAGTTGATATCAGTCCTCCATAATGGTATAATCTTGTGTGAACACTAGAGACATCAATATTTTATTCAAAGATGAAATAGAGATGATATCATTTAATATTTACTAAAAACTTAAATAATTAATATTATATTATTTTATTACTATGATACTTTTTTTATTATATTTTTAAATATATATTTATTTTTAGATTAAATTATTATAAATAACTTGAGCAAGTGCAATTGATAATAGGTGTGTTAGGTCTTGATCAGACTAGTTGAAAAGATAATAGGTGTGTTAGCTTCTAAATTTTTTGTGAAATAAATAATTGAGATAAATGATTGAGAAGTATCTAAAGGCTTAGTTTTATAATAATTACTAATAATATTTAGACTTCATTATAGTGTACAACTAGTATATTAGAATATTTAAAGATCAATTTAAATTTACTAATAAGTTGTTAGCCAGTATATTATTGAAAAAACTGGTTGAAATTTAATATGATGATATTTAAAGAATTCAAGATTATATCACCAATATGACTAACAAAGCTGCAAGCCCAAGAATATTGGGCATGAATGTAATTAACTCATTTCTCATATAATTTATTCTTAATTTTTTTTAATTTAACTTATTTAAAAGTAACTATGATAAAATTAAGAATAAGTAAAACTTAGATGAGCTATGTGTTTAAGAAGAATTAAGATTAAAAAAAAACTTATAATATTTTTGGTATTACTCAATGAGTAGGTAATAATAAAAAAAATTGAAACCTAAGTCATATGAGTTTACAAATGTCATATAAACTCATAAAAAACTTCACAAAAGTGCTATTTCTATAACAAGAAAAGTGATGTGAAGAAAGATAATTAGTCTAACCTTTTTATGTTATGAATTAAATATTACAGAAGTCATTTTTTAATATATATATAGTGATTGATTTTGATGGTTCAGCTTATGTTACAAATAATAGAGATTCATTTTAATACGAGAATCAAAAGAATATGAAATATTTATTGTTATATGAAATCATTTTAAAGCGAAAGCCATAGTAGTGGGTACTTATCATCTACGCTTACAAATGATTCATTTAATGGATTTTGAGGATGCATGCTATGTTCATACAATTCTAGAAATTTATTTTTTTATCTAAAATTATTAGGATATTATATTTATTTTAATGATTATAAACTCATTATATTTATGATTTAATAAAAGTTAATTTTAAAATTATATATAATAGTTTATATAAAATTAATATGAATCTTGAGTTTACAATGATCATATAATTAAATATTAGAATAAAATATAGCTTCATAAACTTTTTAAGATTATATATGCTTACATTTGCGAGTCACTTCATATTATCTATTTTAGTAGAGTGATAAATTTTATAATAGATACGATGAGTCAAGTTAAGAATCTAGATTCTTTTGCTTAATTTCTAAAAAAATAAGGTATTTGTGTTTAGTATGTCTAACTAGGTGTGTCACAATAAAATAAGATTACTAAAAGGTAAAATTATACTTTTATAAATATGATTAAGAGTATGATAAGTTATTCTTCTATACTTGTATCAATATGAGAGTAAACCCTATTGACGATTATATATAACTGAACAAGATTCCTAGTAAGTCAAATCCATCAACTTCTTTTGAGTTATGAATTATTAAGAAACCCTACATAAGACATTTACATATTCATGATTATTCTGCATAGATAATGATTTTGAAATCATATGAAAAGAAATTAGATTAAATAACTATATATATTATTATTTATCTAGAAAAATTCAAAGGGATAAAGATTTTATCACCATAATGATAATAGTTGAATCTAACAATATAAGATTTCGAGAAAATGGCAAATTAGTGAAAATAAAAATCTTAAAATTTAATCATAATATTGAGGAAATATAGGTTGATACTCCTTTATTATTTTATATTTGAGAAGTTGTTTCTTAAATCAGTAAACGACTTGATAAAGATAAATAATAAAATAATATTAATTAACTCTCACATAATATTAATATCATTGCTAATGACTTATAGAATAACCATAATCAATACTTTTAAGAAAATCTTAAAAGAAAAAGAGAATATATCATTCTTGATGATTATATGATATATCTACAAGAATTAGATTCTGATATAGGAATCAAAAGAATCTCTCGTTGCTTTTATAAGTTATAGAGAGTGATGATTTTAAAAATTGATATAATGTAAAAAAATGAGGAGTTGAAATTGATGACACTTAGAACTCTAGAATTATCTAATAATCATAAAAGAATCTATTATATATGAGTTTTTAGTCCAAACATGACTCATGGAATAATATCAGAGAATAAATTCAGACTTATAGTCAAAGATTTTACACATAAATAAGGTGAGATATTTTATTTAGTTTTTTAAATAAATTCGTTAAGAAACATTATGATATTAGTGGCTCATTATGATTTTAAGTTTTATTAGAATGATGTGAACATAATTTTTTTGAATCGAACAATTTAAACGATTCGCATAAAAAAAAAAGTATAATTTGGCATGCAAATTTATGAGACCCATTTATGACCATAAATAAACTTTTAGATAATGGTATATAAAGTCTTATGATATCATTACTTCTTTTATATTTAAAAAAAATACTATTGATCAATATTTATATCTAAAGATTAGTGAGAGCAAATTTATTATATTGATCTTATATATGGATAATATTTTGTTTGACAATAATGATCTTGGTTTATTATATGAAACCAAAAAAATTCTCACCGAAAACTTAATGTTGATAGAATGGAGATAACTTATGTTATTGGTATAGATATATTTAGGGATACATTTTAATAATTATTAAAACTATTGGGAAACACCGGAGAGCATCATGTGTAGTGAAAAATAAAAATAAAAATTGGTTTCCTAAAATAGTCTTATCGAATCGTCGTACGAAGATCGGAAGTGTAAAACTCGTGAAACCGAAAATTACATAAAGTGGTTGAGACTTTTTCACCTACGAGAACTCATATATCCCCTAAGATCACAGATCCTAGTCCGTGGATGAAGGAATTTTCACAAACTCTTCTCTAGTGATGATCCACATGATGGATGCAACGATGATGCAACTCCTCGCCAACACATTCTTTCTTCGTGATCGTGCACCACCGTGTAGTAGCACACAAGAAGGGATCAGTCCCTCTTATTATCCTCTCACACTAGAGAGGGGGCAGTTAGCTAGAGGAAGAAAGAGGGAGGAGATGAGGAGGTTGGTAGCAATAGGGATATAGCCTATAACTCTTTTAGTCCCAATTCATATTGAATCTCCTTTAACTAACTCTAATGAATCATTCTTTTCGGGTATTGAATCTCTATCCAATTATCCTTAGCTTAATGGATATTGGATTCCCATCCAATAATAATTCTAAGCTCTATTGGGTCTCTCCTAAGGATATATTAAAACAGGGGCTTATCAAATATCTCATATCTGATCCTCTATTCATCGTGTTATCCACCATATGTGTCTGACCCTTTAGGTCCAATACCGAGCTGACTATGAATTACACCTATCAAAATTTCTTCTTACTCAGAACTCCTTCTGACTCAATGAATTATTATTCCCATAATAATTTACTCAACTCGTCGACTATGGATGTACTAGCCACTATGTCATAGTTTCAAATGATATAGAGGGATCTAATTAATTGAATATGTTTGCCTTTAGTTATGTATCTATAGTCTCTCATCCATCTAATATCCCAAAGATCGTATATTAGGCATGTTATTGTCAGATTCTCTCGTAGAACTCCTTTTCTCTCAATCCGAGTCTCACGTTTATCGGATTCATCTTAATCTGATTAACCTTAGCCAGGATTTACTTGAGTGAGAACACACGAGATATTTCTCTTATGATACCGAGAGTAAAAGATCCTCTATTAATACTAATTGACTTCACAAGGTTGACTACCATTCATAATGATCGTTGATACTAGATCCAAAATTTTTAAACCTATAAGTTCGGTATTAAAGAACATAACACTCAAATAAGGTATCATTGGTGTCTAAAGTCTAAAAACCAAATACCCAATTAGGACTACAGAGTCGTTGTCTAACGATGAGATATCATTAACCATTCAACATTCCATAAACGGATCATTTAATGAACTCATTCTCTAATGAGCACTAGCACAATATCCCTAGTGTCCCATACAAGCAGTTATGAGACTAATTGCCTCCATCATATGGATGGATATATAGCACACTAGTATGTCTGGTTATCTCGATGTCCCTCTCGAGTAATCTATGATCGGAAATATTCAAGGTCTATGTTTAAAGACGAATTGGTCTCATTATCATGATCTCATCATGATCCAATTCTCATTTCACGGATCTAAGGACATCACAATATATTCATTATCTAATATAAAGTAAAAACATATCATAATAATTGTAACATCCCTGATTAGTCCCATATCGAAAGTGGACAAGATTAAGATTGACTTATAAGCGTATGATGAGTGTATTATTATCAATTTCAGCTTAAGCATTTTGGTAAGTAGTTTTGACCAAACGAAGTTGATAGGCCAGTTAACCCATCAGGCCCAGGTCGTGATATTTGGTATTAGAGCCGACTTAGCATTTGGGCATGGTGAGGGGACTCGAGTAGGAAAGGGCTACCCGTAGACGGAGTCACTGAGTTGCGCCTCACATGCACTATGCCCTCAATCTTAACATTATTTCCTCTATATATCAGTAAAAGATCTTGAGTATGTGCTACATCACGCTTAGTATATAACATAGTATACATGATAGACCCTATCATTGACGCATAGGGTATCCTATTTATATCTGCTCTTCTACATGAGTCTTTGGGGACATACTTTTGGAAAGTGGTATTTTATGTTTCATTGGCATGACACTTCTCTTAAAATTTTTCATGTCAAATCTTTTGATAATGATATTTATGTACTTTGATTGGGACAAGTGAAGCATCCTTTTAGATATAACTCTATAGATCCAAATCTTCAGAATATATGGTACTTCATTTAAGTTATTAATGAAGAAATGTCTAGATAACCAAGCCTTAACCATAAAGAGCATTCCTATATCATTCCCAATGATTAGAATTTCATCCACATAGCACCAAGAAGGTGCTATAGCACTCTCATTTATTTTCTTATATACATGAGGCTCATTTTCATTCTTAACATGCTGTTAACGAATCCTTCGTAGAGAAGTATCTAGATAATCAAGTATTGACTGTATAGAGTATTTCTATATCATTTCCAATAATTAGGATGTCAACCACGTATAGCACCAAGAATATGATAACATTTTCACTTATCTTCATATACATATAAGATTTATTATCGTTCTATCGGCGACGGATCGTGACTATGCAGCCATGACTATCGCATACTGCTGTGTTGGCCACATAGTTGCGCTATTGCAGTTGGTAACAACGCGTTTCTTTGACTTCAAAAGCCGACCTACTTTCTCAACGCTTTCTCGAGAATCCAAATACGGATCATTTAGACCAGTTTCATGGTTCTAGAAGCTGACCAATATCTTGTAGCTTTGAAGAACTCCGTTGGTCGACGGGGAGAGATGGTTGACACAAAATCTATAATGTTATAAACCTTTAACAACGACTCTTTTATTTTTATGTTTGAATTAAATGATTCAAATGATGATCATATGTTGGAGAGAGATGAAAAAATTCGAAACCAAAGGATAAATTGGGAGATCAAATATATCTAAAAGTTGGTACAAGATTTAACATGATTTATTATTTTATCTAAGAAAAAAAATTAATTTTTTTTATTATATAAAAATTAATAAAAAAATTTCTCTTGAGTTAACTCAATTCAAGACCGAGGCATATTGTATATCTTGCATAAATTAAAAAAAAATTCTTTTAATCCTTTCTAGATTCAAAAGCTTATTAGCATCTAAGGTGTCTTCTTCTCCTCTCACCAAATACTTCATGCAAAATGTGAATCCACCAGTCAGTAATCAATGGCTTTTGTGTCGATGCTATGGGTTGCAAGGCTGCAGTCGCGGTTGATGCAAGCCAAGGCACAA